GCCGCGAGAATCGAGATGCAAAGAATTTAAATAAAGTGCCTGCGCGTGTGTGTGGCCATCCGCCATGGTGTTTCCCAACACACGCCAGCACACCGTTCTGCAGTCCAAGAGCCCCCAATATGGCCAACACACACGACACAATTCAGATTTGACTGAGAGAGTGTAAGCGCAGATCACAGAAACCACTACCAAACGATAGGGACATTCCAGAAATGTATTTGTGGCCTCCTTTGTGCCCCATTCTATACACCACCACCTTAGAATACCTCAGTCAGTCAGTGGTCAGGCAGGTTGTATAGAAATTTCTGACACAATCTCCACACATCCATGAACATCTTGTTCAACTGTGCCTGCACTGAAAGAAAATTTCTTCGCCAGAAAATGCTCAAGTGTTGCGCACTTTTCCGCCAACTATTCAATTGCAGCGCCAAAACATGGAAATCAAAAGACTCAAAGTCGCAAAGTTTTTACCCAATTAAAGTAGCAAGGAAGTACAATTGATATTGGACGAGCAGACGCAAGGACGGGTCTTTCTATTAAACCTATAAGCATGATATAAAACCTAAAAAACTGATAATATTTTCTATTAATGTCTAAGATTCTCAGAAATCAGCTTCAGCATACTAACTAACATAAAGTTCACATAAATTTATGAAAAATTCACATAAGTTTTTATGAAGTTCACATAAATTTAAGTTTAAGCCAGGCTTCGCCCAGCTCAATCCAGATAATCTTTTGTCAATGTCATAAATCGGTTATTATGAATCGCTCATGAACTCAGTGTTTTTGTAAATAAAATTCAAGAATCTCAATTCTGATACTATTACCTATAACATGTAGTTATGACAGGTCATTAGTTTACATATCACTTAATAATCAACATTATTCCTGCTCACGCAGGGACGCTTTCAATATCCGCGAATTAAGACTGCCCGGGTGAAATCAAGCAACACACCATCATCATCAGTCTGCAACTGCCCTGGGTTGTTTGCCGTGGACGAGGCCCTATACTCAAATCGCAAGAGGCATCAAGAGTGGCAATGGGAGTACATGCGAGAGTGAAGACCATCAAAATAGCACTTTGATGGTGCAGCAGTAGTTAGGCGCTTCTCCCCCTCGTCATTCCCATTTCGAATTAAGTTATTAAGCACTATAAACTGCAATGATGGTTATCTCTCAAGTATTCTAATTGCTTCCCAAGCACCTCATGAGCAATATAAAATAAATACAATCCCATTTTATATTCTTATCATTTTTTCCACACCCAACAATACTCAGGGTCGGTTCAGAAGGAACATTCTGACTGCAGATATTTCATCTCTGCGGTTTAACTCTTTATTGGCATTTTCGAATTATTTTGACCTATTGAGTCTGATGAAAAAATCACCGTCAAATGTGCCCCTTTCCACACGGTTTGTGGTGAGCTTCAAAGTCATAAAAAGCTCAAGTAATTTCACTCCTCGATGCCTCACCCCGGTACTTCAGCGGGAGACAGTAAATGTGTTAAAAGGGATTCTTGTATAATTACGAACAATTCTCTGTGGCCAGAAAGTGCCTCCGGAATAAGACACAACCCCGTCAATCTTGACGTGCAATGATGTTGAATTATTGCCACTTATGATGCTCAATCAAAAATTGCCAGTGCGCAAGGAAAAAGACAATTAAACTGGGCACAAGAGAGGAAATTGGAAAAGTTAATCTCCGAAAAGAGGTTTATATTGAAGTCCGCAAGTATTAATTTGCGTCATCCTTTGTAATAGTCGAAGCTTGTGAATATAAGGTGATAATTGTAATTTTGTAACAACGCTTTAGAGAGGCACAGAAGTGAAAAGCCAGCGAAATTCACTTTCCTCGTGAATAAAGTGAAGTGAGAGACAAAGTAATGTGTTGAGAATTGCAATGCATGGTAACATTGGACAATGTTGTATTAAAATTGAACGGGCAAAGCTCGGAGAGAAACACCACATGAGCGTGTGTGATTGAAGACAAGGGGGAGGATGGCGACGAGTCGAGGAGGAAGTATCTCATAAGTAAATTCATGCTGCGAAATTAGCATAACTAGAGATGACTTGCGGCATTTGCAAAAGTGTGTTTTATGCAAATGCATTTGATCGCGCACACACACACACGCTTTGAAAGCCATTTATGCAAACTTCTATGTTGGGTCATTGCATTAAAAATAATCCCTTCCTCCCTTCAAATGCTGTACAGACAAATGCTGCTGGCCCAGAGATTCGAAGCAAACGCCACTTCGGAATGGTCAAAATGAGACATTTGAGATAAATTCCACACTGAAAAGGAGCTTCCACACATCATCTAATATGGCCGTAGGTTTATCACCTCCACCGAAAAGCAAAAGGTCAAAATCGAGTCTCATTCTTAATGCAATACGTGATAATAAGTTTTGTGTGGCCTCCGTGGAAAGACAATAATTTGAAACGATTCAATTCCCAAGCAAGTGACGTGAATTCATTAAGAGACCGGGCGTATGTGTGTTAATTTAAAGAATTAAAAAAGAAGAGAACGATGCATGATGATTTTGTTAATTAACATGAAATTTAACATTCCTGTTTGTTTTCTCTCTCTCTTCCAACAGCACTCTTCCCATCTTCCAGCGCCTCCCCCTTCAAACGCGTGTCTTATGGTGCCGACAGACGAAAACAGTTTTATCTTAATAGTTTAGAACTTTGAGTCACTAGTTGCGTGGTCCAGCATGGCACTATCAACATCTCATGGCTATTGACACGGCTCCCGCGGAAGAATGAGGCGAGAAGGAGAAAAAAGACCACGAGCGCGAGACTGTCATCGAAAAGCCCACGGATTTCGGCAGCCTGCACACTCCCGAACTCGCAGGATAATTGCTCATTTTTGCTTTAAAACTGATATCAATATGTATGTATAAGGGCTTAATATGTATATTCGAATGAGTGCATCGAAAGCCACTCTCAATCACAATATCTCCCCCTTGATTACGCCAATTTATGCTGCATGAGACAATATCCCAAGAGCTTTTCCAAATACCTCAGGTCTTTGTCTTGACGACAGAATTTGATGGCAGATTATAGGACACATTCCGTTAAGAATATCACGCGTGTTGAGCCGGTAAAAGCCTCTCTCATGGAAGATTTAACTGTCTCTTGTGACAGCCCTCTTCAAGACACCGCCACAAATATTAGATTAGCAATTGAAGGTACAGTGAATTGTGTTAATTCACCAAGTTGTGTGATTATTTGATTTAGCTTAATTGCAGCCCTCGGAATTCCTCACAACAACACCAAGTCCGAGCCATCATAACGTGTAACATCAAATCTAAATTATGTTCTCGCATTTTATACATACAGAAATGTTTCGAATTTTTTCATTGTATTCCTCACATGTTTTTTTTCTCTTCTCCTTACATTGGCTCACTCAGTTTTTCAACACATGCACGCACTCGTGTTACTCCCTTTTGGAAGATACTTCTTTGAGCGCGCTTTTTTCATTCTCCAGTTGCGTTGCCTTTTCATATGAGGCCAACATCTTCGGGGAGTAATTGAATATGAGTGTGAGTTTGTAGGCATCGACAGATCGCCCAAAAATCTTGAGTGTGTTATGCTCTGGCAATGGAAGAACACTCTGCGAGATGGAAAATACACAGTGCTGAGTTGCTTCATAAATGGTCTCACAAATTTGAAAATAATTGCCTCCAATATGAAGAATGGATGCCGACTGTGAGGTTTTGTTGTTTGACTAGCTTTTTCTCCACCCAATATTCCTTCACTCTGTCATCATTTCTTTTGCGCAAAGCATCATCATCTCTGCATTATCCAATATCCCCCGACACCATCATGAATGCAAAGACGTGAAGCAACCCCACTGAACGAACCCTTATTTCCACCCATGATGAAAGTAATTAAATTCCCAATTATCCACACTCGATGACTGCACATAAATTGGCTCTTTTGCTACTCTGCACATCCCAGAGAGTTGTTCTCAATGTTCCACGAAATCACCAAGTGCATGGCAATAATCCCAGAGAGTGTTAGACAAACAATAAGAAAAGCATGAGTTTGAGGAATCTCTCTGCACAAGAGAGAATCCCAGATGGATTGACTATGAGTCTATTAATCATTCTATGTCTATTCTTCACCAGCCCCGCCAGATACCATCTCGCTCATTCTCACGTGACAGATGCCAACGGGACGAGGAGGATGGACAGTCCCATATCCACAGACCGAGAGGCGAAATTCGTCGAGTGTCCAATTGGTGATGTCCTGAAGGATGTGCCATCAAACGGCATTTAATTGATGCAATTGTCCGCATACTTCCTCCATGACATCACCTTTTTGGCATGCTCAAGTCACCTCTCTCGGGAGGCCTTATTCCATCTAAAAGCTCAAACATTTGCACGTTGACTACAAAAGAGAATGACTGCCTCACTGACAATTTCCAACTCAGATGATGAGGATTTTTTGCCGCTGTCTCGGGCACTTTTCTCCGTGGCGCGAGTGAGAGAGGAATCGATCAAAATGGGTGCATGAGTTTGCGACTATTAATCATCGCCATCGAAGTCTTTTGCCCCTCGCGAGATAGGCTGGGAGACCTCTCTAAAACCTGACTTGCTCGTCGAGCCACGAGTGCGAGATATATGTGAGTAAGTCGATATTTAGAACTCCAATATCAAGTCACTTCTCACTGGTTCTCAAACCGCACCTTGTCATCTTCATTGTGGATAATTAGTCAGTAATGCGGTAATCGATCACTCGCCCTCTGAATATCAATCAGCAATAGCATCCGGAAGGGTAGAGCCACTCGTAGCCGCACGTGAATGCGAAGCACCCGGAAAGAGACACGGCTCTTCCGAGAAGAACAGTTGAGAATCCAATTGTGATATCTCGCGGGAGAATCATCTGAGTGTGTTGGATTTCTTGCACGAATGAAAAGGTCGAGACCTCCAATTTTTGATAAATACACAAAACATGTTTCATGGGAGATGCTTAAGTTTAGGGGCAGGAACTTACCTTTAAGATACAGCGTCCTTTGGGCTCGTTCTCCGCCACGGAAACATTGTAGAAGCTCTGATCGAAGATGGGTTCGTTGTCGTTGACATCGTGGATGGTCACAAACACTGTCACTGTTGAGGACAACGGAGGATGTCCGTTATCTTTCGCCACAACCGTGAGCTGCGGCACAGGTTCGGTTTCACAATCAATATGAGCACGAGTTGTGATAAGTCCACTATGCGAGTCTATTTGGAACCACTGCGAGTGAGTGTCGGGAGTGTCGAGCAAGGAGTACACAATGGCGGAATTGTTGCCTTCGTCCCTATCGACTGCGATCAATTGAATAACAGAGGTTCCCGGATCAGCAATCTCCATCACGTTAGCGCGATACACATCGCTCTCGAACTCAGGAGCGTTGTCGTTGATATCAGTCACGCGAAGATAGATGGTTTTGCTGGCGTGCAGAGGAGGATTGCCTGTGTCCGTGGCAACAACGCTCAGAGTGTAGTTCGGCTGTAGTTCGCGATCCAACGGCAAGGACACAATCACTAGATAAATAATGTTATCACGCGTAGTCAGTCCGAACCGACCGTCGCCGCCACTCAGCGTCACATTCACATTTGAGTACTCTGTCTTTGAATCCGGATCATTAACACTTATCCTAGCGACAAACTCGCCAGGTTGGGCCGATTCCGAGATCTTCGGAGTGGCATCGTCACTTAAGAAAATCACATTAATAATCGGCTGATTGTCATTCACATCAGTCACTCTTATTGATACGAAAGTCGTTGTTTCTAGTGGTTGAATGCCGTGATCTTTGGCCACTACAACCAACTCGTGCAGTTCCTTCGTTTCAAAATCCAGAGGCTTGTTCACGGCAATCCAACCTGTTTGCGGATCAATCTTAAACATTTGCTCCTTGTCGCTCTGACGACGGTTGATCGCATACTCCACATACCCATTCTCACCAGCGTCAATGTCCGTGGCGAACACTTGAAGAACACTCGAGCCGACCGTGGCGTTCTCGGGGACACTGGCAAAGTATCGGCTCTGGTTGAAGATGGGCTGGTTGTCATTGACATCCTGAATTGTGATGTTCACCGTCATTTGGCCCTGCAACGGTGGCGTTCCGCCATCGAGGGCCTCGATCACGAGACTGTACGCAGGAATGGTCTCCCTGTCGAGGAAGCCATTGATCTGCAGATCGAGGTACAAAACCCCATCTCGTTCGCGGTGCGACGACAGCCGAAAGGCGTTGTTCACGTTGCCGGACACAATGTTGTAGCGCTGCGTGTTGTAGCGCCCCAAATCCAGGTCTCGCGCGGGATTCAGGGTGCGCTTGACGTCACGAGGTGTGTTCTCCGGAAACTCAATGTTCATGACGGGTGTGGGAAAGATCGGGGCATTGTCGTTCTCGTCCAGCACACGCACAACAACACGAACATTCGCGCCACTGAGCGGAATCGCCACGAGTGAGTACGAGGCGCGAGTCTCACGATCCAGCGCCACTTTCGTCCTGATCTCGCCCGTTGTGTGATCGATGGCCAGGTCGCTATCCACCGCACTGCCTGGCACCGGCACGATCAAGTAGGGCGGCCCGCTGTCCAGGCCGTGCAGGAACTCCCCGATGAAGCCGATCTGGTGCCCTATCGGCACCCCTTCCGACACTTCTAGCTCGCGCACGTGCTCGGCGTCGGCTCCGACCGCCAGCAGGCAAAGCGCGATCCACAGCATGATCAGTGGGCGACGCTTGGGGTCGCCTCCACCATTTCCTCGTCGCACCATCACCTGTATCTGCGTCCCGAAGCCATGCCCTGCGTTACACAATTCCCTCACACTCGTCGCGGCTGCAAAGAGAAACAAGAGAACCGTGAGTGCTGAGCAGCAAAAAACGTCCAGCGCTAGGGGCCAATTTGCCGTGATTGGATAGGAGGTTTCTATGGAATTGAGGCCCCCAGAAAACCCATAGAAAATGTATTTTTGAGAAATGCCCCACACTTTTCAGCGCTCTTTCTCGCATCGCGAACTCATGAAATATGGCCAAAATATGGTAAAAGAATTTCACAAAATATTATCCACACGCCGTATTTTTCGCATTCCCGCATAAAATTGCAATTTATCTAGAATTCCTTCTTCCAGTCATTTTTTATTGCTTCCGCGAAAGACATTAACCGCATCCTTTGGATCTCTGTGAAGTGACCCACTAACAATTGACCGTTTCTATGATCTTTATCAATTTAAACGATGAAAACTCAACCATAATTTTCCTCAACAAGCCAGCCTCTCTTTATTCTCACCCACCACGCAAGTTCAAGTCAATGCTTTCCACAATTACGTGCAAGAGGCAAATAATTTGTATATCGAGCGAAAATTTCCTGACAACGACCCCGTTTTCACAGTCATTGTGAAAGAAACGAAGAAGAACATTCTTATGCAAATGCAGAGTTCCAAGAGGATGGCTAGGAATGCTCGCAATGAAGAATTACACAATTTGCTAATTACTCACTACGCCTGCCATGTAATTTTTGCTCTATATCAAGAGTAAGAGATTTTAGAGCTGTGAAAACAGAACCCCCCGCTCCCCTAGCCCCACAATGACTCCCCGGGCTGCGCGCAGAGAAATTGGTTGTCATTTACTATGCCCATCTCGCTGAAGATGTCTGCGAGGCGCAAAATACCACTTCAATCCGTCGAATTCTAAGGCTGAAGCGCGCGCTGTTTCTCCACCTAATAAACACACAGACATTAACACATGAGTGTCTTCTTGTGTGACTAAGGAATTCTCCGCGATGGACATGTGCAAAGGGGGGCTGCCGGAGAAGAGAAATGCGCAGAGACTCCACTACAAGTGTGGCTGAATTGAACGTGAAAGACCTTTCGGCGAAGTGTTCAATGCGACCAGTTTTCTTATGCTGTTTATCTAACATTACACTCGTTCTCTGTCGGCCGAATGGTCATCATCACCAGCGGCAGCAGTGGCAGCCGCGGCAGCCCGAGAAGAATCAATAGGAAGAGAGGCAGAGTCGTTAAAGAATACCTTCCATCTCTGCACTATAAACACACCACACGTATTAGAAAATTTCTGCTTGACCTACTCCTAAAGCTCCAAGAGAGGCCCCAGAAATGTATACAATGTCCGCTGGGAGAGAGTCACCATGTGGAGAGGAAGAAGACGGCATGGATAAAAAAGCAAGAACCTCTTCATGACCAAGATTCTTCCTCGTACCGTCGAAAATATGGCGGTGAAGAGAAAGGCTCTCTTTCGGAATAGTAGAGCAGCTTCGGCATCCAGAATCATGGGTGGGAACTTAGCAAATTCCTAGTGCATCTCTCCTTGCTCTCATGCACACTGATATGTCTCTGGGATTGTCTCTTAAGAACAAAAGATTGCCTTGCAAGAACCATTAATATAACAGCTTTTAATGACTCTGAAACATTTTCAATTTCCTCCTAATCTATTACAATAAGCGTCTAGAATGGCAAGAGAATTCATAAAAGATTTAGAATTGTTTCTCTTTTCGACGAAAGGCTCTGAAAGCAATAATTAGGAAATCGGGACACCGAAATACGGAGAACTTCATCCCCAGTCAACGATCATTAGACAAGTTGAAGCAGTCAGTCTTCACGCTGAACATCCTATTAAGTCTAATTTGAGCAATTCGAAGAATCGAGTCTGGAATTAGGATGAAATTAGAGCCTTGGCCGTTACAAAGCTGTCCAAAAGAAGCTAAAAATGTCCCTGGTCGGCCAGTTTCCTCACGGAATAGCGAAACGTTCACAATTCTAGAGCAGAAAATATACCGTTCGAAGATATGTAATATTGAATAATGAAAAAATCTCACAAATACTGGAAGCTCAAAAGGGGGTAATTTATGGTTATTTCAGTGTGGAAATTTGATACTTTAATTCCTTTCTTCTCTCTACCAACTGTTTTTTTTCTCATCTGGACACCAACTCTGCCATTCACTCACAATTTCCTTTTTCAGTTTATTAATTTATCTCTCGAGAATCACACGCATGTAAATCGACAATTATTTTAATTCGATACTTTCCTCCATGGTCTGGAGGATTGATAAACAAGGAGACGATTGGAATGCTCTTTCTCTTGAGCAACCAACCAAATTGGGGTTTCCGCTGGGGTTGCAGGTAAATGCGTGGAGAAATTTTGATCATCAGACTGCGTGAAAACTTTCTCACCAGAAATCGGATCTCGAAGAATTCACCTATCAGTGAAAATTCCTCATCGTAAAATCCAAATTATATACAGAATGTATATTTGGGGATTTGAATTTTTTTGTAGGTACATCACAATCCAGGAAGGGAATTGAGGTGGAATGATGAGGAGAACTAGCCCAAAGAGAAGTGAGAGTAGGAGAAAAAAAGATCATTATTTTGTATTATGTTCCTTGAGAGTTTTCGACAAAAATGTTGTTAGCATTATTAGTAATAATAATAATTTAATATAGCTTCCAAGTCCCAGACCTTTTTCTGAGCCTCTCTTCTCTATTCACCATCCGCACTGTATTCTTCTGCAGAGACGGCGGAGCGCATGAAAAAACGCCATGGGTCCGTACAAAAGTCTATGCGGAGAGGATGAGGAGGATGGAATGCCGAGCAAAAGAAGTCTTCTCTGTCTCACCTCAAGTCGTGCCCAAAAATAGAGAAGAGCCTCTATTGTGGAACGGTCGTGGGCTGGAATCTCTCTGTGCGTGAAGCAATTGAGGTGGGACACAGGTACAAGAAAAGCTGTTGATGCCAAAAAATCTAATGGACCGACGGTGACCCTCTGAGGCCTCTCTGGCGTCTCTCGGACATTCTTCTCGCGCAGCGGATTCGTCATCCTGGCGCGCTCAAGTCCTGCCCTTTCAACTACTCGTAAATTGTGCTTTGAAGAATTGCACAGCGAGCCCAAAACTAATTACCTACAATTTGCGTGGAACGAGCGTTTTGCCAGGGTAGAAGATCTCTTTCACTTTTCTGTGAGCGGCCACGAACGCGTCTCAAGTGTTTAAACATATTAATAGAACGAGTGAAAATTACATACTTTATACGCTTCAGAGGATTTTCATCAGTTGAGATTGTTTCTGACAAGAGAATGGACTCCAGAGGGAGAGTCTGAAAATGAAACTCTTCTTTCACTTTTGAAATAGCTTCACGAGCACGGCACAATTCAGCGGCAACCGACTTGAGAAAGCGACTCAAGCTAGATTCTAATTGAAGAAGGCCTAGGAGACACAGGCGGATGAATTTAAAGGGCGATCAGCATGTGCAACTGTGAATTTTGCGCAAAATCTCATCGTACGAATCGATCTTCCAGCTCGCTCTCGCCCAGGCCACCACACGCCCCGCGGATTCCTCGCATTTTACAATGGGTGTCTCGAGAGGAGCAGAACCAGTCCATCAGCCATGCCGCTAGAATTCATAATTGTTTTAAAAACGCATCTGTTCTTGTTCACTTTGTTCTCTCACTGGCTCCATGCGCTGGCCAACATAAATAAAATGTTTTATGTGCATTGTATGTATATATCCTTTTGCATCTTCGTGCACACAGCTTCGTGACACTCGCCTCATACATTGGTAATTTCATCAGCTCCCAAATACACACCATTTCTGGGATGCCCAGATTCACCTCGCACTGCCACATCGTCAATCTGCGCGCACGAGAGCGCAGATTTTCGACCATCTCTTTGAGACGTCCATCAAAGATGCACAGGCTCCGCTGGCGTGCACACAATCTCACCACCCTGTCGGCGGAAAAAAAGTGCGCCCAAACACCGCAGACATTCCTCAGCGAGAGAGAACCATCAAAGGAAATCGCAAGCCATCAATCACAGCGCTTAGAAGGTAAAACTCTTCCTCGCCAGAGAGACTTTTCGTCACTTTCACCGCGATCACAACGGTGAAAAAGGTGCTCCAGAGGGAAACTTTCAACTGCGGAAGAATTCCACAATTGCACGTTCCCCACAATAGCCCAAGTGAGAAAATTGCAAAAAAGTGAAGCCATATGTTTTCTTTGTTCGATGCTGTGTGACTTTTTGATAGCAATACATCTTGCCAGACTTGACAAGTACAAAACACTCAGAGAGAACAAGATGCTGAAGTAATTATTCCAATTGAATAACATGATAAATATTTATAACTCCTCTCATGTCCAGAATCATTGCAGATACTTTCTTTCTTCCAAATACTCCAAATAGAATCACAGTTTCTCTCCATTTGTTCGACTTTGACTTTCAGGAATCGCATCATAGCGAAGAAATGGCAATAAATCTCCCAATCTGCGAGTGAATCAACATGCGAATTTGCCTCCTTCAGGATGGAATGCACCCAGACAAAAAATGTCATATCGTGCTTTATGATTTCCCTTGGGCAATATTGAAATTTCAATATTAATTCCTCCAGTACGGATTATATACTTCTTTCACACCCAGACGATCTTCCGCGAGTGTCTCTTGAATGGGATTTATGAATGTGTCTTGCAGACAAAAGAGATCAAATTCGACAATCGAATTTTATGGTGGCGAGGAGGATCACGAAGGAAGGTTCATTTGGCGAAATCTTCAAATTGAAAAATTTATGTTCAATTTGCCTTTAAATTGTTGTTGGTCGGATGGAGGCTCACAAAAGTACCAGATAAATTACATTGACGCTGGGATGCGAGGTGAGAGAGATGAGATAATTTAGAGATGGCCAGAGAGATGGAAAAGAACCCTTCTTGAGGGGTTTTCACTGATATCTTTACGACTGTGCGGCCTTTTTTCCACGCGTAAGTGCAATATTTCACACGATCATTGACTAATTTATGGCCAATCCGACGACCGAGAATACTTTTCAGCAATTCTCGCGGATGCTAATCTATCAATCCAGTCACCCAGACATCAATTCACCCCTGAGACTTCTCTGGATATTTCAATTTTGTTACCTTGCAGCGTGCAGATCACTGTTGTGTGTCTCTCCGTGCGATTGTCGGATCAGCACTTCACTGGTAAATCCAAATTTGACCACTGAGCGTGTCACGATGGCACCATTCTCCGGCTGTGCGCTCACGAAACAGCACAGTCCGCACTCACTGTTATCCTCACTGTCAAAATGGCACACTCTCACCACAGAATCCAAGAGTGTCTCTCACAGGCCACTCCGCACCATCCTCACCAATAAAACGCGTTTTTATTATTTTGTGTGGATGTTAGACGTGTAATTAAAAATTGAATTCACCGTCATTATATCTCGAGCTGACGGTGAAGGGATGGAGGGCGATGGAATAACAAGAAACTCTATAATTAGTTTTTTCTCTCTCTCTCTCTCTCTTTCTCCTTCCCCGTAGAATCTTCACCTTCTGCTCGGAATCTTCGGTCTTGTGTGTCTCACAGTATCATAGGCTAAAATGAAGGTAAGATGGCAACCTTGATGTGTGCACTTCTTTCACAATATTATACAGAAGATGCTGGATATCCGAGCATTTATTGATCTCTCTCACTTGAGTAACAACGAGAACCGCGGCGGCGAACCGAAGGGAGAGAAGGCTTTTGTATTATTTATAAGACTGTCGTCTTTCGCGTTCTTTCTCGCTCTCACTAAATATCCACAGTAACACTTTCGGTCACCCAAATATCCTTTGCGATGTGGGGCCACTGTTGGCCAGCTCGGCGTGCACAGTATCCGCAGCACCTCGATTTTCACCTGGAGCACTTGCAGCGGACTGTCACAGGTCTTTTTGGGGGGAAAGGCGCTCAGGAGGCGAACTCAACGCGCGCTGAGGTCTTCGAAGGCTTCTTTCTTTAACCTCACCGTTCGAGCAACTGACTTCGTTGGTGTTCGCCAGCGATGGCAGTCACTCCGGCCGACCTGGCTGGCGCTGTGTTGGTGCTCCAGCATCTCAGGTGTGTGGCGCACACAGCCACACGCCCGGCGATCGTGAAGGAGGGCTGCCAGGGCTGCAGTGTGGGTTCATTTGATCTCGCTGGCCTGTGTTGGTGGCTTCGGCATTCTCGCGCTGCGCCCGTGTGCGGCTGACAAACAGGTTTCCTCTCTGGGCTGTGCTGGTGTTTTTGCCAATTCAGCCCATCCGCAGTGCCATGGCGAAGAATCTCGCGGAAGAAAATGTATGTGGCGAGAAAAAAGGTTCGCCGTGGCGAGAGTGAGAGGCCCGAGATGAACTGGAGGCGTCCGCGAGCCTGCATCCCGCGTGCACATGTGGTCGTGCGATGGGACACTCTTGCGATTTCTATGCTAATGAAGCTGGTGGAACAGGTAGATGGTGTGGTGCAATTTTTGCATATTGCCTTAGAATTACCCACCGCGCATGATACTCCTCGCAAAGTGGCAAGAAGTTGCGTCTGTTTGTCTTGAAGATTCCAACCCAATTGCTGTCTTGTCGTCGCGGATAATGATGATGACCGGTGGTTATGCGATTCACCATCAACCAGTTCGCGCTGAGCCCCCGAGATCACCCCAGCGCAAATCTCCCCAAAAACAATGATAAATGCTCACGCGCGCCAATGGCCAAGGCAAAATCAATAAAAACGTCCAGCAATGCGAACCCATTAATTACCCGACAAATCAAAACATCTCAAACTTTCACTGGCGGCTCAAAATTCCAATAAATTAATTGTGGAAATTAAAACGACAGCGCACCGTCAACAGAGTGGAATTAAGTGCTGCCCAGAATGAATAGAGTATCATATTCTTGAGGATTTGCCAATCAATAGGCTTCACGACTTCATTTCGCTCTGTCACTTAATGCCCAACTACAGAGCAATTAATTATATTTAATATCCTGACTTTTAAAGTTTTTAATTAACTTTGCTTGAATTTTTAACTACCTTCTTCTTCCTTGAATAAGACAGAGAGCTCTTTGTATTTTGGACTATTCCTATAAGCGGCATGAAATCTGCAGGATTGCAAGAGAGCAAACGGGGCTATTTAATCAGGCGCTCCTGATTGATATTTCCTAAGTCTCTGCCTGCAAGACGACTAATTCTCATTATCAACCACTTCTGATGCCTATCGATCGCAGATGAGCTGCCCAAAGTGAGTTTTTGCGTACAACCGTTGAATTGCGGCTAGCAAAACGAGAGAGATAATTGTGGAGAATAAATGAGCAATGCAGTTCTGGGCTCTTGAGGCCCGTCATCAGTGATCAATGATGATGATGGGGTCTCAAAAGCAGTGACTCCGTGCGCATATCCATTTGATGGCAAGAAATATCCACTCTGTTATTTGGTGAGATCTGAAATCTGAAATTTTCATCCGTCTGTATTATAAGCCCAACACGAAGAAGTCTTGAATTCCGATGATTACGATTCCGTGTACCGAGTCTTGGGGAGTTTGCATTACAGACACATTTCTGCTGCCTCTCGCGCGACCACTTTCCATGCAATTCCATCGGCGATGGGCTACTCTTGTGGTTCTTGCATCAACTTCTTCGCGAGCCCTCCGCACTCCTCCTGGCCAACGCGCCAGCGCGAGATGTCTTCGGCGGACCGCGCGATCTCTCGCCAGCATTGCCATTCACATGCAGGCCCCAGCTTTGGGGAGATGTGTGCGCTGCCCGAGTCCCTGGCCACGTCGTCTTCTTATTATTCTCCGGCATTACACGGAATTCAGAGAATCAAACACTTTTTTGCAAGGATAATTTCATGATTTTTTACACATTCGCAGCGCGCTTATTTGTGCATTTCCACCAGCCAAGCAATTTCTTCTTCTCTCTGTGTCTCCGGACACTGTGCGCGCCAGCACTTCTTCGTGCACCTCACCTGGACGTGGACGCGCCGGAGAATGCACATGTGCCTCCAATTGCTAGACCGCAGCTCCTCAGCAACGCATGACCATGGCGAATTCGTGCATTTTCGACACTCGACCATCGCGTCTCCGCTTCTTCACTATTTTCGCCTCTTCTGCAATTCACTTCTGATAATTCCTGCGGCATGTGTGATTAGCACAGATGCACATTCCTCAAATCATGACCATAGCAGACATCCTGCCCTGCCATTTCGGACAGACACGCCAATAGAGATATTGGCAGTCGCCAATAATTAATATGTAACTGTCGTATATCGAAATTGATTGAAATGCCATTAAAATAGAAAGTATCGGAGAAATGTTTTCCACTTCAATGGCACTCTGCCATCAATAAAAGTCTCTTTGCGCGAGATCTATTTCACTTCTCTCGCGTTCCTGATTCTCTCTCGAATTCCTCACTGCGTCTCAGCGTCCGAAAATATTTCGCCGCCGTCACAAAAACCCGTGGCATTGACGAATCGCCCAAATAGGAGCAACTTTGTAAAGTGGGAAGTTCGTCTGGCGAAATGCATATAATTCTCTAACAAGAGAAATCATTATTACTTTTTATTCATCGTCCTCTTGTCCATCAGTGCCCAGGCAGAAGAACTGCGGTGAACACATCGTAATACCGCCCAACAATTGAGTAACTCCGGTCTGATTCACTTTCTTCCCATTGATTGCAGCACGAGGGAAATGATCAGCATATTTGACACGTCCGATCGCCCAAATTTTCTTACATGGCGCAATAAAAAGTTCCCCTTTGCGCACCAGAAAGAATTCCATCTCGGTAAACACGTGACAGTGAGAACAAGAAACCATTTGTATGTGTGATATTTAGGTGAAAAAGCGCAGAAATTCCTCAAAATAATCAAAAGACATCAACAATGCAAGCGACGAGCCCAACTAGGCGTGAGAGCCAAAGAGAGTGAGTTTTGCCACCGATTCACCAGTAAAGTATTTTAGAAGGAAGCTAAATTGTAAGGCTTGTGCAGAAGAAAACCACTAAAAAGTTCTTATTTATTGAAAAATTGCCTTTTCCAGTTGTGAAAGTCTTAATTATATTGCCCGAAAACAATTTTTTTAAGACTGAAGGACTGTTTAATTCAGTGAAATCTTGATTTTTAAACAATTCAGCGATTCACAAATTCCAATTGCACCCAGTTAGATAAGCCTCACTCTTCGCATCCGATCTCTCGATCCAACTTGAAGATACATAAATCGATAATAAATTGCCATCGCACATTTTAATTCAAACCCATTCTGTAGTGTTTTTTCCCAGCTTCTTGGCTTCTTCGCCATCCTTTTCACCACAAAGCAGTCATTGTGGATTTCTCCGAGCGAGAGTGCTAATGTTGGCGGTATCCGCAATATTAATTGCATGTCAATCCACCTGATAATTTTCACTGGTTACACAATGCCGCACAGAGACCCCCATTAGATGTGGAGAAAAATGACAGCACAAGAGAGATATGTGCAGCCAAAAAATCTCCCGCTCGCGAGAAAGTAAATAGAAACCACACTTTTGGCGTGGAGAGCAAAAATTAAATGATATAGAAAGGTCTGGCTCAGGATGCCTCGGAAAAAAATGCCCACAGACTTTTTGTGATGACTCTCTTGAGAGCTCTATTCTTTCCGAAGGCCCTTGCATAACTCCAAACACAGTGAAGATAAACAAAAATACACATAATAGAGATCCCATCACATTTTGACTCCTCACCGCGTCTTATTTGGTTTCTATTTAATGCCTTCCACGCCGAGAGAAAGTTGCGTGAAAAAATAACTATAGCAAAAAAATTTAGACAATATAATTGATCTCTGTGGAACATTATGGGAAAGAGACTTGCGCTATGGAAACCTTTGCACATAGTCTCAATTTAATGCAGTGTTGACGGAATTCCTTCTTCCTCTTTTTCTTCTAGAGCATATTTGATCTTGTGAAAAACAAACAAAATGAGGATTTCTGAAGGACACTTGAGATATTCAGGGAATTGGCAAATTCTGTTTGCACAGGAATTCCTGCCACATCCGCTTTTGGGCAAAAAAAATATGACGAAAAAGAAAATTGAGAAGTCAAATTCCGTGTTTCGGCTGCGTGCAGACCGTGAAAATGACCCAAAAAGCTTTCATCACGTCTTCACGCCATAAATCTCTGAATTTTTATTGCGATCATTCGGTTTTTTTCAGCACAAAACCAATGAACAATGGCTAGCGATTCCCAGTTGATCTTCTCAAGTATTTTGCATGCTAACCAAAGATCCGTTCTTAATGTATGACCAGCTTTTCACACATCAGCACAGCGAAGCAGCAGTGCAAGAGGGACTCTCGTGGCCCTCGTACAATTTGTACTTTATTTAATTAAAGGTATTGGCCAGTCTATATTGCATTTTGCAACACTGTGACTACTCGGTAATTCGATATTTATAAGAAAAATTTGTGTAATTCCGTTTGATTTACGGTCATGTTTTAATTGGGAACGGATTGATTGTAGGTTGCTGTCTGCATTCGCAACTGCACTCAGCCCGTGTGTTCCTTTTTTATTTCACTCTCTCGCTGCCACTTCTTTTTACCAGCACCTCTCAAAAGCCAGCCACACCATCGCGCCAATTGGCGATCTTTTTATTCTTGCATCGCGCTCTTCCACATCCTGCAAATTGCAATGCAAATTGATAAATGTTTTTCTTTCGCAGCTCCCTTTGCTGATCGTCTGGGCGAAAAATGTGCGTCAAATGAGGAAATTTCCAGACACACATTCATGCACAAGGAGGAAAATTTCATCTCCCAAAATCTAACAGATAGAAATAATATGCGCATTTTGCTTCGTGCAAATTTATTTGAAAACCTTATAACACTTTAAATCGTTTACAATATTCAGTACAAGTGTAAAACGTCTGCTTTTGTATATTGTAGTGTCCAATAAATTGATGAGATTCTCCAACTCAAGAGCAAACATAAAGCGAATTTTGACAGAAACTCAGGAAAATAACTAAAACTGACCCCAAAAATACATCATTAATCGTTGTTTTGATTGCAGTTCTTTGATTACAATGTGGCTTCCATATATCTTGTGTGTGGGTGAAGATTGCAAACTAAATTGCACTCAACGGTCAGTCAATTCCCTCTTTCCCAAATTGAGTCAGTACATTTTTTTTTTGTTTTTTCGAAAGAACAAAGGCAACCACACAGCCCACCGACTGGCTTCACCTCTCCAGGCGCTGTCAAATACCCCAAATTCATGCTTCACCGTTTATCTGAGCAGAGAGAATCTTCAACTGTTCCACCAATTGATCCATTCACGCAAGTGTCGCACGAGTGGAATAACGATAACGGGCGACGGGCGAGCAACTAGTAGAAGTTTAAGTACATGGATTGCTCGAGAGCTTCCTCAATCTTCTTCTGGAGCTTCTCCTCCTCCTCCACGCTCTTTGTAGGTCCACTAATCACTGCGTCCGACTCATCATCGCTATCCGTGTGAATCTCCGCCACCTTTTCCACCGGCTCCTCGCCAATAATCCCCCGGATTTCGTCGCTCAGGTGCGGTGCGCCCTTCACTTGCTGATATATAGCCTCCGCCTTGGCCAGGATCACATCCAAATCGAGTCGCATGGACAATTCATTGACGTGCTTGAGGATCTCGTTGAACTCCTTCTTGTTCCCAATGATCGTCTCCGTCTCACCATCCAGGATGGCCAGACTGATGAATAGGTGGTAGTTTATGCACGGCAAGCCCGTCCAGAGCACCTCCCACAGTCGCATGATGTCATCCTGGGAGAACTCCCTCTTGAACCACACGAGCAGCCAGCGGAAGCAGAAGTACATGTTATCCGATCCCGTTTCCACGAAGTAGTTGTAAAGTCGCGGATTGGCAAATGCCAGCAACTGCGTTAGATCATGCAATTGTCTCTTCATGCCCGCCTGATCCATATCGAAGTTGGTGAAGACGTGATCCATGAACCCCACAAAGCACCAAAAAGCATCCTTCTCACTATTCATTACGTACAAAATTGGCGCCAGCAGATCACTCATGCCCTGCAAACAAAATAGACACACATTTAGATCTCTCGAAGCTCCACCAATCAATCCCTCTTCAGCTCACCTGAACATAGCCCAGGTCAAAGTTGTACATCACATACGTCATCAGGAGTTCATGGAGCGTCTCAAGGTTGGGATTATCATCGCCCGCAAAGAACTCGTGTGTGCGATCTGTGCGCTTCACGTCCTTCTCAATTTGGCACTTGCGATCGCGGAAATCGGAGAAATTGCTCTCCTGCACCGATGTCATGCGCAGCCATTGTGACTTCATCGTGTAGTACTCAATCCTCTTCTGAGCTCGCCTGTGTTCGCGCTGCGTGTTCGTGTTCGCCCACAAGTCGTAGTCCAGCAAGAACTTCCACAATTCCGCCCGAATGTCCGGCTCGATACCACCGCGGAAGATCTTCTCCTTGATCAAGTCCACCTTGTCGCTGGGAATGCTACCGTCCTCGTTGATCATGCTCCGCCACACCATTTCGCTCAGCGGCTGCCCGCGCGGCTGTATCTCCACGGCGGACAATCCCGGCATCTCTATTCGCTTCGCCACCCCAGGAACTGTATCGCCACAATCCGAGTCCGTCTGGCGAGGAGAAGTGCCCAAGACCTGCAAGAGAGATCCCTCATCAACCGTGAAACCGACGCAGCCGCGCTGCAAACTCACCTCGTAGTCTTCTGTCGTCGACTGCATCATCGCATTCTGTCCGTCCGCCGGCCGGCCGTTGTCCGGACTTGAGGAGGGCGGGGAGACCGGCGTGGCCACGTAAACGTCGGCAATCTTAGCGAAAATGTCCATCGTCTGCTCGTATGGACGTCTCATCATGTTGGAAATCCAGCCACTTCCCGACTTGATGTCCTCAATCTGCAGCTCCGCGAAGGTCTTCTGCAACTTGTCGCGGTCCTGCGGCCTCTGCTGGTCCTCCACAACGTCGTACACATTGCGATTCCTGTGATTGCGCTGCAGGCAGTGCGTCGAGGACAAACTCCTCACGAAGTTATCCGCATTCCCATGCTGAAACACGTACTCGCTGTGCAGCCGCCCGTCCACGCGCCCGATCAGCTTGATCACCAGCCCATTCTTCAGCACCTCCACGGACTTGAGATCGCGCAGCTTCACGCGAATCATGCGGTTCTTCGGCGGCGTCTGCACATCTTTCAGCGTGATGTTGCTGGTGTTCGGATTGAAGACGAGCGTTTCGCTGATTGTACGATTCCGACGGACGATCGTGTCCACGAAGGACCACTCGTCCTGCTCCTGCGTGTCCGTGTCGGAGATCAAGAAGCCATCGTTCAGACGCCACTCGATCCACAACTCATTCGTCGCCAGACTGTGGATCAGATGGATGCTGCCGGTCGTGTTCACTTCCACAGCAACAGCGGAGTTCGCTTTCTTCAGCAATACGCCGTCGTGCGTACAGATTTCCTTCAGAGATAAGACGACAATCTATTAATTTTCCGCCTCACATATTGAATTGTAGGGTCAATTGTTCCTATTTTCTTACAGGAATCCAATTCGCATTTCGCCTCCTGTTTTTCAAATTTGCCAATTTGCCAATTAGAATCGAATTAAGAAGCACTCTCGGAATTACATTCAAAGCAATAATTTCAAAACGAAGACTTTTCAAGCCTTTTTCCCAAACACCCCGAAGAGGGTTAACTCTCTGGCATCCAATGAATGCCAGTCAAAACATTCAAAGATACCTCATATCTCAGATAAAGCAGATTAAAGCCTGCAAAATCTTCTTCAATTGATAAGAAACGCGAATACTTATGAAACAAAATTTTGCGACTGATTTTGCCGCGCTTTGACACTCGTCCGGAACGCGACTCCCGGACAAGCAGATGACGAATCTCCTCTTGAGATTCATTTGAAAGGCTCTTGATAATGAATTCTCACATCCAGCATGATTGAGTAATTCAGCGGCTGAAAAGCACATTAGCCACTTCTCGTGTTGTTGAGTAATTCAAGCATTTGTGGCGTAATTTCGAGTCATGATTTCGATGCAAAGTGCGACTTCTCGAGCTTTCTTCGCAAAAACAATCCCTTTTCGCACTAATTGGCCCCATTTATCACCACCACGTCCACAATGAGTGTCCAGGGGCTGAGATGCTGACGAATATGCGGGGCAAATAGGAGATCTTCGGTGGGGTCGTGAGGTCAAACGGGATCGCAAAAAATGGGCGAGAAAAGCTAATGTCATTGACTTACTTGAGGATTTTCGATGTTTTCCTCCATTTTTGCAGCATAACACGGCTTTTTATGCACAATCACCACTGCACATCACTTTGCAGAGTGTCTCAAGACCTGCTATCACGGAATTCCCGTGGAAAAATGTGAAGAAAAGTGAAAAAATATGCGAGGAAATGTTCACGTCTCGTGCTTGTCACTGCCTTTGTTTTCTGACGATTTCCACTCAGGGCCGTCGAATGGGGGAAGAGTCGCTGCAATCGCCAAGAAGTGGTTTGTGGCAATCTTCACACGACACTTTGGCGGGCGCGCGAACAGATATACGCAGCCCAAAGTGTGCCTTTGAATTTGTGGGCACAGTAACCGGCGAAATTTTCCAATGCTTATGCGCACTGGCGCAAAAAACTCGGGGCTCACGTGCGAGGCGTAGAAGAGGCGCCGCGACGTTTCGTACAGTATGACCTCGCGAGAAGTGGATATTTTAGTCATCTGTCAGAGAGCGAGCTGAGAATTTTACTGTCCCTGAGAATCGCATTTCGCTAATTGATTCAATTGATCCGCGTCTCCAGTTGTGAGCAGTTCAATAAAAGTGATTTCCAGCGAGTGAAATGAACAACTTGGGCATTTCGACGGATCCAGCTTTGCTGGGAGTGGAATTGTCGTCTTCTCTGACGACGTCACCGTCCGTGTCGACTTTCATGCCCGAAGAAGATGCCTCTATTTGCCCTCTCTTGCCAACAACCCCGAGTCCGCCGCCCATGGACTTCATCCACCCGCTGACGCCCAACGCGGGAATCGAGGAGGAGAACAACGAACAACTCAGAGGTGAGATTCCCCGCCGTCTTTCGAGACGATGCACTGCAATTTGGGGTCACTTTCAGACGATGACGCTCAGGCGGAAACCAGCTCGTCAGGAAGCAGTTCGGGAATTGGCATCCAAGTGACTGCCAACGGTCCAGGATCTCTCTTCAATAAGCACGCATATCAGCATCTGGGCTGCAAGAATGGCGACATTACGCAAGTAAGTCATTCAACTTCATGAGCAAGGGTCATTTTTGTGAGGTTTCACAATCTAATTACATGGAATTGTTAATGAAAAACTTAACGATCCTGAGAGAAAAAAAAGTGAAACTCGAGCGATCTTCATGACGTTCGGTGTATAAAAGCAAAAGAGTCATGAAATTATTAAGTTAATTAGAGAATTCCACACACGAGGACACTTCTTATGCTAAATGTTGATTACAGGAAAACGGCGTCACTCAGTCAGGAGTCTTCAGCATCCCAATCACGAAGGACACTCCGTCTTTCGTCAACTGGAATTGGCCACTGATTCGCAAATGCACTTTCTTCCTCTTCATGGCCGGACTCTTCGCAATGTGCGCCATCGTCGCGGCGATGATCATCAACCTGCCAAAGTTCTGCAATCCGGAAGTTCCATGGTTCAAGGGCAGCGTCTTCTATGAGATCTTCCCGGCGAGCTTTCAGGACTCCAACGGCGACGGCCTGGGCGACTTGAAGGGACTGGCGAGCAGAGTGGATTACATTGAGAGCTTGGGCGTGGGCGCAGTTCGGCTCAACTCAATCTTTCCCGCCAAACACTATCCTGACCACTTTCAGAATGTCACAACACTCGCGGATATTGATGAAATCCTGGGGAATACCAGAGATTTGGCGTATTTAGTGAGGGTTCTGAAGAGGCGAAACATCTCGTTGATCCTGGATCTCCCGATTTACCCTCTGATCAAGCGCTTGGCAGTGATTCGAAGCAATGTAACAGAGTCAGCAAATTCGACTAATGCGGAAAGCCAGGAAATGTTTTGGGAGGATGAAGATGAAGTTGATCCCATCCTTAACGCAATGAGATACTGGCTTTCTCTGGGTGTGGATGGATTCTACGTGAAAGGACTCGAGCACTATGTAGAGGATCCTTACCTTGTCGACAACATGAAAGTGTGGAAATTCGCTCTGGGTTCGGACAGAATTCTTATGGTCAACAAACTCCTCTTTGACTCTGTCGACGACGAAGTGGCAGAGAAGATCAAGCATTGCGTGGATTTGGTGGACGTTTTTGTGGATGTCTCAAATGGCACCAAGGTTATTGCCGAGAGAGTGCAAGCAATGTTAAATTCCCGCCACTTGGCGCCCGGATTCGGACCGTGGATTCACTGGAGCTTGGGAGGTGTGACGGAGAGACGCCTGGCTCAGGGAACGAGCTCCAACACTTCTTTAGCAGCCATTCTCATGCAACTTATGCTTCCTGGGACGCCAAGTATTTTCTACGGAGACGAAGTCGCTCTCCAGGAAGTGTACGATCCTCTCGGTGATCACGAGGAGACCAAGCACCTTCATCACTTGTCGACAATGGTCTGGGACACGGATATCCAGTTCACGGGGAAGGAATCCCTTCCTTGGCTGCCTCGCGGAGCCTTCGTGGCTTTCCACCACTTTGAATATGTGGCGGAGTTGGTGAGGCTTCGCGGAATCTCACCATCAATCTACCAAAACGCCGTGATCAAGGAAAAGCAGTCAGTTCTCAACACAGCCGTGCGGTACAGCAAAAACGACATCCTGATCCTGGAAAGATGGTATCCAAGGCGTCACACATTCACTTCAATATCCAACTTCGGCACAAAGTCCCTCGTCCTCGATCTATCGGCAATGTTCTACTCGGGCGAGATCATACTGGGTCCACTCAAGGGGGAGAAGATCTACTTCAGCAGCATCCAAGTGAGGCCAATGGAGACGCTGATCGTGAAGTTGGACAAGTAAGAAGCAAGCGAATATCAGTTTGGAAAATAAAATTAGAACATTTATTACTCTAAAATCAGTAATAATGTGTAGCTTAATGTAAAGAAAAATACAAAAAATGTCTCGAACAATAAAAAAAAATGTTACACTTACACTTGAGAAACCTACAGTTTAATTACAAAACCTAAGACTGTATTTATATCCTAACAGTTAATCGATAGTGTTTTTTTTATCCTCTCATCAGAAGCCAAAGTGTGGCATAAGTTACACCCTATAGGTATGTTTTACCTGAATGTATATCATTTCATTTAAAAAAATACATATTATTTACTGGTTTTCTGTTTTCCTCTATGATTTAGCACATAGTTATTTTCATCCTAACCTATTCCCTAGCTAAGTTATTTAAAATGTAGACATTTTTTTTCATAAAAAATATAATCCAATCTTAGTACAAGATCGGCTCCGTCCGAGCTACACTCCTTTCGCATTCGCCTTTGCGAATGCACAGTGGAATTTCACTAGAGATTTCAGTAAGAAGCGTCTCTACCTCACGAATACTTAACCGAAACAGTCGGTGGGTGAATGTTCTCCTTGCAGACGTAGCGCTCACGGTGTCACGTACTGGGCTGGGAGTTGAAGCTCTTGTGCTTGATGGGTGTGGGCGTGGGGTCCATGACGTAGTTGTTCCCCTCCGCGGACTTGGTCTGGCACTGGCACGGGAGCGGCGGCAGCTTGTCGCTGGGATGGCGATGGCTCGCGGTGGACTTGCGCGGCTTGGCCAGCTGCACGGTGCTCAGGCCCGACACGGGATACTTACCCTTGATGGCTGTGTGACTAGCGAGGGCAGCACTCACGACACCGCCTTGATTCGGGCCACTGCCCGATCGCGGATGGCGTGGCATCACGAAAGCCTTGGTTTGCTTCAGCAGCGACCGGTCGTTGCACAGAGCGGCGATCAGGGGCAGGTCCAGGTTCTTGCTCTTCTCGCGCAGCGCGTGGATGTCTATTGTGGGCGATCCGGTGGCGTCCTTCCCGTTCACCAGAGTTGGGGTCGATTTGGCGGGAGATGGAACCGAAGCGGCCTTGCTCGTGCCAGCAGATCCTGTGAAGATAGAATCTGTTAGGACCTCGCAGTTGGTCTGGGTTGCGCTTCAACTCCTTACCTTGAAGACTCTCCATGGGCGTCGGAATGGGTGGCTTGAGATTCCTCTTGACGTTCACGGGTGGCGGAGGAGGAGGCAAGCGCCTCGCCTTGGGCAGCGTGTCGATCGAATTGAGGATGTTATCGTCCGAGCGCGAACGCGAGAATATCGACGTAGTGCTGACGGGTCTGGGTCGCAGGGGCAGCGGTGGCGGCGGTTCGTAAGACGAGCAGAGGCTGGCTACAGATGGCGAATAGAGTGGAGAGTAGGCGCCGGGGAGTTGAACGTACGAGTCTGAGAGATTCTGCGTGGAGGCGTAGCGCGAGTGGCTAGACAGTGGCATCGCCATTGGCAAGTACGGCGTCGATCGGTAGATCGTGTGGCCTTTGCAGGTGTCCCAGGATCCCATGGATGCGGCTGCGTGATAGGCCAGGTAGGGAGGAGGCGGTGGACTCTGTGCCATGGCGGCCAGTATGGATCCCTGCTTCGCATCGAGATACTCCTGCTGGCTCACTGCCGGATCCTGGATCGGGTAGATCACGTAGTCCACATCGCTGTAGAGCTGCTGTTGGTACAATTCGATCTGCGATCGGGCCAGTTGGGATGAGTAGACCGTAGCAAGTTGGGGCGGCGGCGGCGGAGGAGGCTGACGTGGGGTCTGGGGAGGCGGCGGCAGGTACTGCCTGGGCTTGATCACCGGTAACAGAACGCATGTGCGTGGCGAAGACTTTGGCGCCTCAAGGTAGGGCGGATGAGGCGGAGAAATGGCGGGCATGCTCTTGTGCGGTGCATGAAAGCTGTAGGGAACGATGGGGATGCCGATGGTCGTTGTGGGTGTGACAGCTGGCGTTGGCGGTTGAATCGTGGGCGCAGCAAAGCTCGGCTTCTCGCCCACAACGCTGGTGTGCGCCTTGAGGATGTTGATGTGAGGTCTGGTGGTGATGAACCTGGCCGCAGCTTCCTCGGGAATCACACTGGCTGCAGTCGATGGCGGTCTCGGAGTTGGTTGCTGAGGATATGGCGGTGGATCCCGAAGAGGAATCGCCGGAGCCTCCTCTCGAACAGCCGGTCCACAGAGTCCAGTCGTCTCGTGGTGCGAATTGTACGGCGGCGGTGATCTTCTGGCGGGCACAATATTGGCCAGGGAACTCGTACCAGTGCTGTTGATTCGCTTTGGGGGTGTGGGTGGATTTGCCAGAATGTCCAGCTCGAATTCCTCTTCAGTTGGCGCTGTATCCTTGTGCCCCTGAATGTAGCTATCTCCCTCGAGCGGCAGAGGCAGGGTCACATAGTCACAGTCAGAATCCAGGGTGTTGCTCACAGTCTTTCGATTGGGATAGGTTCCCCTGCCCACTATCAAGTCCGTCAACTCCTCTGCGCTCAGCAGAGCATGCTTGTTGTCCGTGGGATCACTGCCATCGCCCCTAAACGATCCGGAAGCACTCACATTGGAGTCCGATCGTATCCGAAAATCCGCTGTAGCATCACTGCTCAGCCTATGCCGGAAATCATTGCCATCCACAGAGTCCAGATTGGCGATGCTCTCGTTGGGTTGGAAGCTGCCATAGTGCGACGACTCGTGACTCTCAGACTCTGCCATCTCGCTGCTGCTCATCGTGTACACGCCACTAGTCTCCGTGGGCGGAGCTGTGTGTGCCAGGGTGTAAACTCCCAAGGATGAACCCTCCTCATCCTCCTCGTCGTGATTGAGACAGGCAGATGTGACTTCGCTGAGAACGGAATTCTGGGCTGTGTGACTAAAGCCCAGCTCTAGGCTAGAGCATGTACTGTGTCGCCTAGCGTTAGTTTGAGGTGGAGTGGGAAGAGTAACCGTTTCAGTGGCCACAACAACTGTGCTGCACGTGGACGAGCACTGAGAACTGATGTTGTGCTGTGATCCCGGTGAGTCTGTGTCATTTGAGGTGCGATCAGTTGTTGTGGTGTTGCGCTCCTGGAGTTCTGTCGATTCGCTGCTCATCGACCGCACACTCAGTGCAGCCAGCGTGTCCTCCAGTCCCTTCAGCGACACTTGACCCACCGACGAAGCCTGGCGGCTCACACTAGGTCTGTCCAGGAGGTGGGCCAGAGCCAGGCTCTCCGTGCTGGGAGCCGCTATTGGAACTGCCGGCGGTGAATTGATCATGATCTCCAGCTCATCCTCGGAATGGACGCGATCGCTAATGATGCCCGATGTGGTGTTGCTGCTGGTGCTGCTAATCACCGAGATGCGTTGGTCGTTCTTGTTCTTGTTGTAGGGCAGATTGAGCGATCGCGAGTATATGTAGCACGTGTGGATGCAGCTGCTCTCTTCCTCCTCCCGCTTGATCGCCTCCGTGAGCCGGGGTGCGATTTTCATGGAGAACTGGTGAGTTTCTCTGCACAGTGCCAGCAGCATTTTGTTCTTCTCATCGCTGCTGGCATAGAAGATGATCTTATTGTCGCCCGAGCGGATCTCGAACTTCTTTCGCTCGAAGCTGAGCTTGCTGATGCTGGGCCAGAGGAAAGTTGTGGGCATTGCGGTGTCGCCCATGATCTTAATGCCCTTCGCGTACACCGCCAGCCACACAGATCCCGGACTCGAGTCGCTCTTCGTGCTCTTCATCCGGAAAATGTGGGCGTTTATGGCCTCGTGAAGAGCACAGGCTTCGCGGATATAGTGCGTCTCGGCATCGGCACGCGACATGGCGCGGTACTCGCGATGGCAGGAGTTGAGCGCCGAGGCGCCCCAGGACGAGTGCATGGCGGCCGGGATGTAGTCCTCGTGGCGGAAGTAGTCGGTGGACTGCTCCTCAGGGGAGTCTCCCAGGTCAGCCTGCAGAGCCAGGCCGCCCAGCAGCAGCAGGCTCTGCTCCGAACACTCCTTTGGCACATCACGGGACACCGCATTGGCTTTCAACTGGAGATAGTAGTAGTGGCGGGACGTTTCATCTCGAAGCATGAGCGGACTCTCTATGTAGAACTGAACGCGGAAGTGCAGCTCCAGGAGAGGGCGACCATTTGCGTCGAGGCCCTGGAAAAAGGATGAGTGTGAGAAACTCTCAAGGATCGCACAATGAATTGAAGTGTCTTACGTGCGTGTGAGATGAACGCCAACTTTTGGGGCCGTACTTGGACAATTTGCTCTCCGGATCGGCAAACAGATACTCGCCATCTGAAAAATAATATATTCACATATAGCTAACAATTTCAAATATTCTACCGGAAAGTCAGCACGGCGCTATAATTTGCACCAATTAAGAAAATATTTTGCAGTGTCGTTTATCTTGCTTCTTTTTTCGTCTTCCTCCACTCAGCCATTAATTGCGAACTGTGTGTGTGCGTATTGGAATGAAGAGAAACGATTCATCTCAAAGAAGGAGAAATATTTTTGCTATAATTGCAAATTCCCATGTGAGTGAGACGCCTCTAGAAACATGACTTATCTCACACAAGCTTTGGTGATTAATCCAATCTTTACTGTTTCTCCAGTGTCACAGATCCATGACTTAAGAACTAATGGGTTAAGACGTGCTGAAGCACGAAATCTATACAGAATGCTTCATCAGTTTGTCAAAAAATTTGTTGGTCGCTCTCTGTGTGCATTCTGGCAATCGGAGACGACAAATTTCAAATTTATTGCATTCGATGAGAAATGAGCGAGGAATAGGTGAGTGTGGGGTCATTTCGCTCTAAATACCATCAATTTTATTGACTGAAAGTATATTTATTACCCAAGTTGCATTACTTTTATGCCCTTCTTTGAGAGCATGACCGAGAAATCTTAAATAAGATCACTGGACAAATGACATGCAGGAAATGTTGGAAAGCAGACTACAATTCTCCTCTACCCCAAGTGACTCAGCACTCCCCTATGTCTTGGGGTTGAGCGGGAAGTGTGGAGACACGGGGAAAAAGTCGTTTGGAATGTGGTCTCGCGTTTGGACGTCTCTTTTTTATTTCTACCTTCCATCTTCAGCCTTCTTCGTTTCATTGTGCTCGCGCAGATCACAACAATAATCATAAATTGTTTGTGAATGTGGAGTTTGTGGCCACGCCGTTGGCAATGGGGAAGAGAGCCTGAGCAAGATCGACGAGAAGGTGTCAAAAGGTTAAGATTGTAAATAGCTTTTGGACGACTGGGTGCCTCCTCATCTCCATATGATGTCATTTCATCAAACACATCGTGTCTCCTTTCCTTCCGCGCGACCGAGAAAGCCGCGCTCGCGTGAGTTCAACACTCTCTTTTTTGGACGACATGGAATTCGCTCCAAAAGATGAAATGCTATTTCGTTCACGGGGAATTTTTATGTGCACTCGCATCCCCACAGTGTAATTACTGGGCTCGAGTAAGAAAAATTCATCAATTATTTCTATATGCCTGCACATGCAGCAACCAACGCGACTCTCTGCCTCCAATATTCCGTCGATTGCTGCACAAGGTGTTTTGTGGGGCATGAAAATCTCAGGACGGACGCGAGAGCGGGCGATTCAAGCGGCGAAGCAGGAGAGAAACGCGACAAACGAACGGGTTTTCAGCACAAACGAAATATCGTGAGGTTTTATTACTTTTAAAAAGACCCCAACACCTCGATGACAATGAATGAATTTCTGGAATGCAGCACATCTGTAGCAGAAAATAAAATTAAATGCTACAGGAATCGCGAGAGGGTCAGCCAAGATATGCGCTGCAGAGAGTATCCAACATAGGCGAATGGCGCGCGATACTTTGAATGGTATGAGGCTGACCGAAAGAAGACGCACACTCGCCGAGAGAAAACACCAAGTCGCCATCCCAGTGGTGAAATGGAAACCCAGCGCGCAATGAATATGCCCGAGGAGAGCTGAAGACTGAAAAATTCAACAGAGATTCAATACCAATTCGAAAAGGTCACATTCCGATGCTTTTTTCTTCATCGACTTGGTGCTTTTTTATACTCGGGTTTTGTTACTTTTTTCGCCTCTTTCCTTTGCTTCTTCCCCAAATCTCTTTTTTTCGCCCTTTTCTGGCTCCGACGCGTTCAATCATCATGCATGGAGAAGCCACAATGTAATCGATCGATTTGATTGTTTTCAAACTCTACTCACTCTTTCCATGACTCAATAGACGGTACAAAATGTTAATTTTCTCATTTTCACTGAGATAGAAATGGTAATGATGAGTGAAGCTCGTAGCAAAGTTGCACATATTAGATACCATTCTTCTGCAGCGAAAGTTTATGGCTGCAATAATGATTGGAGATGCAATTGGGAATTAAGAATTACACTCTATACTTGCGCCTTATTGATTTTGAAGACGTGGAAGTGCTGAAATTTGATGGTTTAAAATCGCGCAGTGGATTTTTTGCGGGTGAGCATTAATTTACTGAAATTTATTTTATTGCTCTTCATAATTTTAACCGAAGAAGAGTAACAAAAATGTAATTTTTTCTGTGTGTGCCACAATAAGTGTAATTTCTCCCTCTTTTCCTCAGCATTTTGAATTTCTGTACATTTCAGCGCATTTTCCATCGCGCTGACTTGTATCTTATTTTAATTTTATTGTAGGCACACACATAGATTTTTTTATAACCCATACTTCGCGCAATTTATTTATTCACTTCTTTGCCATGGTCTCTTCTCTCTTTCTCTCGCGACCGGGCCGCATTCCTTTGCCAAACAGCCTGTCATAAAATATAAAAACACATCCCAACAGATTCATCGAAAAATTATATGCAAGACATTCTCTGTGTACTGTGGTTAAGGCACTACTTATATGTATAGTAACTTTTGAATGCCGCTCCTGCTGTTGTTGCCTCGGGCTTATAATGAAAATAAAACACCACGGACGATGCCCAATAAAATGGAAAGAGAGAAGAATAGAAAGAATGCCCACAACACCACATACTCGCCAAGGAACACGGCCAGAGCCGAGGAACGCGCTCTCTTCCATCCCAATAGATATACAAACGAACATTATACCTGTGCGCTGTTCAGCGAGTATGTATACTGGATCGCTGAGTCGTGGAATTTTCAGAGGCGCGATGCCTTTTATCAATAAACCGACTAATCTTGGGATTCCACGTGTCGCAGCGGACTTGAGAGCCACCGCTAGAGGAATATTATCTGAGGAACGGAGTCTATTTTACACGGCTATGCATGACCTTTACGAGCTTTTCATCTTTATGCGTTTATTGCAATTGTTGCAGCACGAGAAAGAGCAGAGGGAAATATTTTAGAATTTCCCCGGACAGCCGATGAATATTCCGCGGACTCACATGCCTCCACATGTACACAAGCATGCGATGGAAGATGGTGTGGAGCGAAGATGACGATGGAGAAGTGAGGAGAACGAAAAAGAATTTCATCATAAGGAAAATAATCAACTTCTTCTGAGAAGGTGGTGGAATTCTCTGCGATTTGTCCAAAAATTGTGAAAAGGATTCACTGGACTTATCTCTAAACACTGGCAAGAGCCCAGAGTCTAGCGAAAAGTCCCAGAATATGGGTCATGAGTAGTAAAATCCTTCGTCCTCATTCCAAACATACACCGTCTAGCAGAGAAAAAAACGATCAAAACGAGTCTGAAGATGGTTTGGGTGGAACGCATGGCGAAGAACACCTCAAGCGAGTCCAATCGAGCATCACGGCTATTACATATTTTATGTGCGGCTCTGTGTATATGGCTGTGGATGGCGAGGCACATAATACGAATATTCGGAATGGAATCTCGAGACGTAAGACGCGTGTTTGGTAATTCAGGTAGCTACTGGCTCTGAGCGCAATTACAGAGGAGCCAATGTGGGATCTGCGCCGTCCGCGGGTGTGGAAGCGGGAACGTGGTCTGATGAGATATACGGTCTTCTTCTTGCTCTGGCGGCCGCTGGCGTAGCGCAAGTCATTTGTTTGAACCGCGAACTGAGGACAGAGAATTACACATATTGTGTTGGAAGAGGTTGGGAAGATGATGTTGGGAGATAAAGTGCCTTTTTTCGGGTTCCACCACATCTCATATGTATAACTCGGCTATTTACATGTACAAAACACCCAATCCTCTCCTTTTCCCAAAAACAGACGCGAGCATTCAGCCTCAGCGCTTTCCACTCGACCTCTCCGAGTCCGGGACCCCGAAAGGGGGTGTGCGCGGGATCAGAGGCAGGGCGTAATGTTTATGACTGAAGCCAAAAATTTTTCGTGCGAGAAGTTCCTCAAATAACCTCTGCATTCTTCTCCGAGTGCCTTCATGACGGCAGGCGGCAATTGAGGATGCAGAGAACACGTATGGAAACCACGATTCGTAATGCTGTGCTCACAATTGCGGCTTAAGTCTGAACAGGATCTTGAGTTGAGTTTACATTTGAGTTGAGATCATCAAAGAAATTGGAATTTGCTTTAGCAATCCTATTGGATTCTCCTCAATTTTAAGCCAACTTTTAAGCACACGAAAGACAACTAAATGTTCTGAAGGAAGACGAGAAGCTTAAACGAACTCAAACGAAAGACTTAAATGCACCCCATTGGCGACGAACCCGTAAGGAGTTGAGACTTACCTGTGAGAACCGCCAGGCCGAAGAGTTCGGTATCCAACATGCCTTGCTTGGCAAAGTGAAGACATGTCTGTGCATAGACTTCGCGGACGCGACTCTTGGCTTCCACAAGAAAGTAAAGAGTGCGCGCTTGTGGTGTTCCCAGCAACCTGGATGGTCAGGAGAGAGGCACATGAGCTAATGCACGAGCGAGGCACGGATGTGCTACATACCTGAGCGCTAGGAATCTCGCACCTGGACACAGTGGGCGTGTGGGTGGCGCGCAGACCTCGAGGGGCGCGCTGACGGTACAAAAAGCTCGCATGCTGCATCGTTACCAGCTGCAATAACTCTCATGAAGTATTTCCTGCAAAAAAGAGAGACGCACTTCAGTATAAACAACGCTAATGACTATCGCCGCGGAATGTGCTGATGATGTGTCCAAAATGGGTGTCGTTATTTCCGCAAGTCTACGATGATGTGTGCATGTATATCAATTCATTTTTATTACTCAGATCGATTGCCAATAAATGAAAAGAGTGTGGGCATTATTCACGGCAGTTTCTGTGCAATTTTATTATCCACGCCAATCAAATTCAACACTCAGACAATCGTGATTAATTTTATATGCTTAAATATGAGCTTCTGCCAAAGTGGAACTTCAATGTGGCATTGGAAAATGCATAAAACAGCACTGTTATGTTCACTCTTCCAACCATTTCATATCCTCAAAAAATGCGTCCAACTTTAAAAATTGTCTCACTATTTGTCGATCAAACAATGAAATAAGCAAATTATTTCTCTATTTGACAGGAAACGTGTGATTTCAACTGACTCATCTGGTGATTCTTGAATCACTCTGTTGGAATGCAAATGCTCACACTGAATTCTAACCCCTAGAAAATCCTCAATTTCTGCTACAGCTGACATCGAAAATGTTCCAACACATTATATTCGCGTCTGCTAATTAACAAAGCATAACTACGGCGATCGGAATGACAAGGTCAGAGTTGTGTCACCCTCTGAGACAGTGTGCGACAAACAGTGACAAGTCTGATTTGTTTTCATGCTCAATACGCAATGGAATGCCGATTGATGATTCGCCTCACCAAAGTCATTCTCTGCGCGCGGACAGGAGATCGAAGTTCAGTGGAACATGATCCCATGGCGGTTTCTGAAGCTCACACACTGCCTTTTTGTATCCCCAGCTTCTGTGGTCAATCGGCTCACCAGAGGAGTCTCTCCGGAGAGGAATGTTAATTCGATGGTGCCACTCAATAAAACATGAACAAATTTCCAAGCGCTGTGGTTATAAAGTGGAATTTGTCTCAGTCCGCCAGCCATAATAAAACATTTCCCATCGCACAGACTCAATCCAGCTTCGAGTATTCAAGAATAAATTCACCACAGGATTTTTTTCCGCACTCCACGCGATATGCAACTGTGTGAAATAGAAAGCGAACGATATCAATTCAACAATTGAATGCTCTTCACACTATCTTCACTGTCTTATGTGCACAACCTGAAAGATGACGCCACGAGAATTACATTCACACACTTGCAGTCAACAATGCTCAGCCACTGCTGAACTGGATTCTTACACATTCCATTTACATATCTTCAGTTTCCATAAATTCTCTTCTACCATCGCGTCTTAGAGAAAATTACATGCACGATAGCATCGTTTATCGGGAAAAAAGCGAACAAGTTTAGAAAAGCACACAAGGAATTTCGCTCTCAAATTCTATTTCCTCTGGATTTCAGTACAGAAATCCTCATTGATGCACTGCTAAGCTTAGCTGTGCACATAAAGTGACCCACACATGACGTGTACGTAAATTATCACATATCTACATATGTAACCTACATATGTGAGCCACTGGCGCCTATCCGTACATCTGCATGAGTAAATTTACACATGAACGTAATATCAGTTATCTTTTTTTTCCCCTCCGTGCGCACAAGAGAGTAGGAAGTCCGATGATGTGGCGTGAAAAAATGGGGAAGAATCACAAAAAGAATCTCGAAACTCGCACAAATTTTTCAGCATTATTATTTATAATAGGCCAGCCAAGATACATTGTCAACCATGCATTTACTCTCATGGAAGGTTACTGCAAGCGTAGTGGAATGGCAATTTAAATAAATTAAACAGATTCAACAACGAGTTTCGAATGTGGGTAACTCAAAAATCTCTGCAACATGAAGAGGTCAGTGAACAGTTGAGAGTACGCGCGTCTCCACGCACTGAGGTCAGGAAATCACTTTGGTTTAGGATCGAACAAATCTCATAGTTTATTTCGTTAATACATTCATCACACATTTTATTGCGGAATTCTCATCAGCATCCAAGAGAGTAATTTGAAAGCTTAAGAAATGATAATGTGTAAATTATACGTTGATGGTAGGGCAGAGAGGAGTAATTTCATGTAAATCTCTTTTGAAATATTAAGTATTTCTTAAATATGCCGTGAAGAAATAATGTCAAGAGAAGAATAAGAAGAGAATGCCTTGCACAACACAGTAGCTAATTCTTTCTCTAGCTCGCACTGGAGTGAAACGCCAAGGAATTCCGTGGCTAAATCAAATTTCAAGGCACCACGGAGTGCCCTTGAACGTGGAGTGACCACTCAGAAAGAGTCATGCTCGTATACACAGTCAAAATAAGAATGGTGAAGAAGAGCCAGGATGAGAAAAAAGTGGAGTGTAGCCACAGCCATCAGACTTATCACACCTGAAAGTCATAGCAGTGTACATTCCTCAGCCACAGATGGTGCAAGAAGTCATTAAAGTATAGCCCGTAGGGGGCCACGTTGAACATATTTCAGTTTGCCAGCCTCCAACCAAGCGACCGAGCCACCACTCGGCCAAAAATATGTTTATATACCCGCCATCAATTCACTCACACCACGGCAAATGGACCAAAAAGGCCCATGCCGAGAAACTATCTTCATCTACCCATTGGCCAGCGCGAGTTTTTGGGGCTCACAGTAGCCGGAGCTGGGCAGTGAAATATTCAGATTCCGAACACATACGCTAATTGGCCCTTTTCACTCGGGCCACGCAAAAACATAGAGCCGTGGCGAAGGTCTTCGCTGGATGCTCGGCCCCACCTGCGTTCACGCATCCGCCGAGCCTCTCTAGAATCCCCTCCGGCCCCACGAGGGTTATGAATTGGTAGCCACATCCGAACCTGTGGTTAGCATTCCTCCCTTTGGGCCTCAAATCGCACAAATGGAAATGCGCGAGTTTGGAAGAAAAATGCACAGAGCCGAAGATATCATGGCACATCCAAAGATATTCAGCATTTCTCTGAAATCAAGTGCACGTGCTGAAATTTATGACGACGCGAGACTCACATACCTTCAAATTTCCATGCCATGAAGTGAAGATATTGTGCGAAAAAATTTCCGATTTTGCAGCTTAAACCAAATTATAGCCACACTCACGCAGTTCATTTATCCATAAAACTGTGTTTCTTTTCCATCGGAATTTTTGAGATATTTCCAAAACATCCTCACCACTTCTGCACCTCAACGCTTCACCGAATGACGGCATAGAAATGATGATTTGAAGTCAATCTGAATACACGTGTTTCCCATTATACATGCATACAGCTTTTTAGCGTGTTCGAAAGGGAAATTTTCATCATTGACACTTTCATAAGAAATTATATGAAAACTGCTGCAGAGGCGACATGGAAAAATATGTGGAGCGACATAGCAAAAAGCGGATCATTTTAACTTCAAGCTGTGACAGAAGTACTGATAATCTATCAGTTATTCTATAAGTCTATGTCCTATTAATTAGCGTAGGTAAATTAAATCACACAATATAAATAAATCCAACCGTAAATTCATTATAAAGCGCTGGATTTAATCTAAAAGTAGACTTTCTTAAGATTTCCTAGCTAAAATGGAGAGAGATAGATTTTTTAGAACCACACCCAGAAGATCATCAGCGAGGTAGTGTTGTTAGAAATGGCCCAATAAATTAGTCCAATTCTCACTATACAAATGCTAAATATTCCCCACGATATCGCCCAAGTGTAATAAATTTCCTGATAGAGAGAAACTTGTAAATTCTAAACTTGGACTGATAAGGAGAACGTCTCTTTTTGTTTCTTGATTTACAACCAGTCAAACAGTGTGTTGCCAATTCGTGATTTTTGCCCACAAACTGAAACAAAAATCAGCATAAGAATTCGAGTATAAAGGCGGCAATTGTTACTATCTTTCGAGTGACACTCTTTAACTGTTTGGTGTGAATTCCAATGAATAATAGCATAAAGTGCAAAACAGCCGAGTAAATATTTACTCAATTATCAATTTCTATTCGAGGGCGGTACTGAATTCCATCACTTTTCAAGTGCCTTGCTAGTGGAATTTTATTGCGAGCCATCACATGAAAACATATCAATATCATCTAATTGCTCATCGCGCGAAAAATAGCCAATAATAGCACGCATGACAATAAAAATCTCTGAAAACATTCACACACTGCAATTGATGTGTAAATTTACTGTGTCTCTCTCGTTCCTCTATGTTCTATGGCGCTTTTGTAGGACACTCGAGTCATTTAATGTGACTCACTTACGCTATGGCATTTATTTAGAATACAGTTTGTGCGAACGAGAAAAACGTATTGCCGACACTTCTGTCGTGCTATATTTTCAGCAAAAATATTTTACCTTTGATTGTGACTAAATATAGCGTTTTTAAGAATTCGGCGAAGCTTTCCGTATTTGAGGTATTCTCAAATGCCGAGCTCTTGTGCAAACATGCCAGATAGTTAATGTCACCGAGCGCGCAGAAAGTGTGAATGTGTGATTCTCCAGCATGTCTAAAACCTAAAATTATGGTGCAGCTTAGAATCGGATTTGATCACATTCCGCGCTGGCTCAGGAGGAATTTCAGCTCCCATAAACAGAGCAAGGTGGCTTGGCTCTGGCTTCACCCATGGCATTCCATCGACATAAGGAACAAGAAGAGCGCGCGAGAAGAAGTGAAGACTTGTAGGGAATTTTTCTTATCTTCCTCATCATCTTCGTCCACTGTCCGTCCATCAGTCATTCCATCAACGTAGCTCCATTTGTGTACCCAAAACGCTCATGCCACAGCTACCCAACAACAACTGGTGGGCATGGACAAAAAGTCGCGGAAATATTCATTTACGTGCGAAAGATCATTAGTCAGAAATTTCATTTGAAGGTCAAATATGCATAAATGGCGGATAAATGCAAAAATGTCCGCGTGACAGTGACAAATAACTCCCCAGAGCCCGGCATTTTGAAAGCCTGCCCACAGTGGATATGGCCATCACCGCAGTCCCGAATGCATGGGAGAACATGAGGAGCTTCATCATTCT